TCCCAAAGCACGGGCAATAATTCCTAAAATATACAAGTGGAACTATATCAGATTAAGAAATTTTTGCACAGCAAAAGACACAGTAATTAGTGTGAATTGATAACCCTGAGAATAGGAGAATATTTCCTGTATATTTCCAGTCCCTTATAAGGGTCTCATAACCAGAATACACAGGGAACTCAAGTGGTTTACCCAGAAATAAAAAATGGTTAACTTAATTAAAAGATGGAAAAATGAACTGAACAGAAATCTCTCTAAGGAAGATATATGAACAGAAAAAAAAACAATATGAGGAAATGCTCAACATCCCCCATCATAAGGGAGATGTAGGTTAAAACCACAATGAGATACCACCTAACCCTGTCAAAATGGCAAATATTAAAAATGGAAAAAATGATAAGTGTTAGTGAGAATGTGGTGAAAGGGGAACTCTCCTACACTGTTGGTGGGAACTCTCCTTTCCACTGTTGGTCCATCCACTGTGGAAAACAATATTAAGGTTCCTCAAATATCTACAAATAGAACTACCATTTGGTCCTACAATCCCATTTCTGGGAATCTCCCCAAAGGACAGGAGAATTCTCAGTCAGAAAAGCACTCACACATCCATGTTTATTGCAGCATCATTTACTATTGCTAAGACAAGGAACCAAACCAAATGTCCACAAGCAGAGGAATGGATTGAAAAAGTGTGGCACATATACTCTATGGAATACTATTCAGACACACACATACAAAGATCCTGGCATTCAATAGAAAGTGGCTGACTATGGAAGATTATTACTGAATAAAGCAACCCAGGCTATAAAAAAAAGTATGTGTCTAATTAATATATACAGAATATTCACACACTATGGTAGAGAATAAAATACTTTACAGCATACAAGAAGTGAAAATAGTTATGGACGTTGCACTTCCATCTTCAGACCCCTTGCCTAAAAGACACTGAGGCAGAGTCCCCTGACCCAGCTCCAGCCCTGGCACTCCCAAACCCAGAGACCTCTATCTCTGTCAACCAGGACCACTCTCAGCTCTACAGCAATCCCACTTCCATCTCCAGACCCCTGGCCTAAGGAACACAGTTTCTAAATATTCTAGTATTGTAAGACTCTCTGGGATACTTTCTTTTACTGAACCACTTGTGAAAAAGGAAATACTTTTCTTCAGACACTTGAATAGAATACTCTTTCTCAGAACACGCTGCTAAACACAACAGAAGAGAGACTTCAGCAGTCTTCAGTCTACAGCAAAAGGGGAACACACTTGCTCCTAGTCGAAGAAATATTCTCCTAAAAGTTATTCCAAAGTGAATACATCTCCCAATGGCTAGAAGTAAAAGAAGAGTCTCATGTCTGAATATACCAGGAAATATATCTCCATCAAAAGAGCACAGTGACTCTCTTCCATTTCTTGAAAAAACAGAAGATGTTACGAAAATATCTGAGAAAGAGTTTACAACATTTATGGTGAACAAATTCTATGAGTTGGAACAGAAAAGAGACAATGAACTGCAGGAGATTAGGAAGTCCTTCAATGATATGAAAGAAGTAATGGACATGCTAAGAATCGGAACTATTAGAGATGAAGTCTGAAATACTGAAAATCAAAAATTCTCTCGAAAGTATTAAAAGTCGATTAGATCTTGCTGAAAATCGAATCTCTGATGTAGAATATAAAATCTCTGACCTAGAGAAAGCCACCAAGAAGATAGAGAAAATAACAAAAAAAAAGAGGATAATATACGAGAGATACTAAACTCCATAAGACGACAAACATAAGAATAATTGGCATCCCAGAAGGTGAAGAAACGAATAAGGGCATGGAAAATCTATTCCATGAAATCCTGGAAGAAAATTTTCCAAGTATAGAGAGGCACTCAAACATCCAGACCCCCAAAATACAAAGGACCACAAATAGAATCAACACAAGAAGATCTTCCCCAAGACACATCTTAGCCAGAAAGGACAAGACCACAGAAAAAAAAAAAAAAAAAAAAAAAAAAAAAAACAAGAATAGTAAAACTGGCAAGAGAGAAACAACAAGTAACTTACAAATGTCACCCCATCAGGCTAACACTGGACTTCTCAATGGAAACAAAGTAAACAAGGAAAGAATGGGAAGAAGTATTGAATATGTTAAGAGAGAAACAATTTCAACCAAGAATATTATATCCTACAAGATTATCCTTCATATGGGAAAAAAGATTACAATCTTCTCAAACAAAACCAGAAAGAGTTTTCAAACACCAGACCAGCTCTTCAAGAAACCCTGAAGAAAGTACTGTTCCAGGAAAACTAAAGAATGAACAGCCAGAAACAAAGGAATAAAAGGCAATGAAGAAAATGTCCAACTGAAACATCGGAACAGGTCTGGTAACATCAAAAATATTATTGAATGTTAATGGATAAAATTCTCCAATCAAGAGGCACAGACCAGCAGAATCGATAAAACAAACAACAACAACAAGAACAAAATAGAAACCCTCTATCTGTTGCCTAGAGAAAACCCACCTCATGGATAAAGACATACATAGACTGAAAGTGAAGGGTTGAAAAAAAAGCTTCTCGTGCTAATGGGAACCAAAAAAGAGCTGGAGTCACGATACTAATTTATGAGAAAATATGCTTTAAAACAAAAACTGTCTAAAGAGACAAAGAAGGGTACTATATTGTACTAAAAGGGTCAATAGATCAAGAAGATATAATGCTTATAAATATCTATGTATCTAACACAGAAGCAATCAAATATGTGAAGGAAAGACTGTTAGATGTAAAAGGGGAGATTCACTGTAACACACTAATTGTTGGAGACCTCAACACCACTCTATCCCCTCTGGACAAATCATCTAGGTGAAAAATAGGTAAAGAGATAAAGGATCTAAGTGATACCATAAATCAAATGGACTTAACAGACATCTATAGAACTTTCCATCTAAAAACCACGAGATATACACATTTTTTCTCACCCACACATGGAACCTTCTCGAAGATTGACCACATCATAGGGCACAAAGCAAGCCTCTACAGATTCAAAGGCATAGAAACTATCTCCAGCATCTTCTCTGACCATGATGGAAGTAAACTTAAGTTGAATTTCAAGAGAAATCCTCAAAAATATTCAAATACATGGAAACTAAATAACCTACTCCTGAATGACTCCGCAACTACTGAAGAAATAAAGATTAAAATAAAAAGATTCATGGAAGCCAATGACAATGAGGACACGAGTTTCCATAATCTTTGGGACACCTACTAAGTCATAAGAGGAAAGTTCATAGCAATTAGTGCACATAAGAAGAAGATAGACGGAAGGCAAATGGATCACCTATCATCATGCCTCAGAGAATTGGAAAAGCAACAGAAAAAAAAAGCAAAAAACAAAAAACAAAACCCAAAAGAGTCCAGGAGAAAGGAAATAATAAAGATCTGGGCAGAAATAAATGAAATAGAAAATAAACGAACTATACAGAAAATAAATGGAAGTGAAAACTGGTTTTTTGGAAAGGTAAATCGATACACCACTAGCGACACTTATTAAGAAGAAGAGAGAAAGGAACCAGGTGAATCAAATCTGCAACGAAGCAGAGAGTATAACAACAGACGTAGTAGAAATACGAAACATCATTAGAGGATACTATGAACATCTATATGCCAAGAAACAAGACGATCTGGATGAGATGGACAAATTCCTGGACACATAATCTGCCAAGATTGAGCCAGGAGGATGTAGAAAGTCTGAATAGGCCCATAACAAGCCAGGAGACTGAATCAGTAATAAATAACCTTCCAACAAAGAAAAGTCCTGGCCCCGATGGATTCACCTCTGAATTCTGCAAAACATTCAAAGAAGAGTTTAATACATTCTGATACTGACAATTCTTTTCATGAATAAAAGAATCAAAAATATGGCAATAATAAAATGTGCTTCACATATAAATAATTGTGTTGTAAGAATAGGTTATTTGGATCCCTGTACAAAAAAGATTAGAAAGCAAAATGGGAATAAGCCCTGTGTTAGGAATATACCCAAATGTGTGTCCAAAGACAGTTCACTCGTAATATAGCTCACTTAAGTTCTTTATGATGCATAATTTCTTAATCATCTACTTGTAAAGAATGAACGTTAAGAAACATGAAATCCAAATTGCATTTGTTTTCACAATATCAACGCTAAGCTCAAAACAACAACTTCATTGACTCTAAATGTAAATGTTTCAAAAGTAAAAGACAATTCTTATTTTAAAAATTGGATACAGAAAAAGATGAATTATTTTACTCTACTTGCAAAGAGACTAGGTCTCAGCCTGCACTTAAATAGTGTGAGCAACAAAGGACAGCAAACAAGTATTACTAAGCGTAATGCCCCTACATATAAAAACATCTAGTTGAACGGTGTTCTTTCTACTTATATAGCAAGCCTATTAAACCACCAGCATAATGAAAGCTTATATCCATGCAAAAAAAAAAAAGAATAAGTAGAAGTCTATTACAAAATTCAAAATCCCTGCTCCCAACACAATTTTAGTACACCTATTAAGTAAGGCAAGTCATTTAGAAAAACAGAAATAAAATATAACTAGTCTTTGCAATTAAAAAAATTTTATAACATGAACAATGTTCAGATATAAATTTTGAATTAAATGTGGTTTTTCTAAATATGCTTTATGTAATCAAGGCTTTCTTATACAAAGATAAGACTAAGGAATATGATCTGTACAAACTTACAGTAGTTTATATCCCACATAAAGTTTTTTTTCCTATTATGATATAATATAACCATTTTATGAGTGAAGATATATGTTAAGGCTTAAGGTGTAAACACTTTAGAAGGCAAACAACAAAATATTACTGTTTACTTAAAACTGTTTACATATCATAATAGGCCCCTGAACTTTTTAATTTACATATGAGAATACATTTACATCTTGAATTTCTAGGAAAGGCACAGGCTTTACTTTAAAAAGCAACAAATTTTTTAACTCATTAATTTATTGTAAAAGCCATTACTTTTATTAGAAACAAATAATGTTTCTCAAGATGTTGGCAACAAGCCAGAGTATAGACATATTTTATACAGTGTATTTCTCCCTTTACTTATATTCCAGTAGAAGGTGGAATACGTCCTTGGCCATGGGAAGCAGAAGTATTTGATGGACTGTGTAAACTGGTCTCCTTATACACAAACCAAGCATATCCTCCCCAAATTTTTATATTCAGAAAGCCAAAGATCACAGACATATTTAAAGATCCCATATTAGTCACCGAGCCATAATAACATAGCACTTCCAGCTCCGTGCCAAGCTGAAGTTCCTGAGCAATATTGTGGCCAATAGCTATTTTTTATACCTGTAAGCGCTTTGGCCCAGGCCGAAGTGCTCACTAACCATAAAAAAGTGGCAATGAGAGTAACAACAAAGTCAATCATGCCCAAGCGGAAGTTCCTGAGCAATATTGTGGCCAATAGCTATTTTTTATACCTGTAAGCGCTTTGGCCCAGGCCGAAGTGCTCACTAACCATAAAAAAGTGGCAATGAGAGTAACAACAAAGTCAATCATGAGAAGTTTACAGCTCTCCCAATAAAGATTTGTGTAACTAATGTAAAGAAGTGTAGCAATGCAATACAGGAACACAAAGACTGAAAATGTGACATAGAATTGTGCAGAAGAAGAGTAATCTCCTGAGAGGACATGGTTTTTTCAAACTACATCACACATATTTACATTTGGAGACGACTGAAATGATGCCTGATTCAACTGGAATTGATAACCAAAAGTGGCAGTAATGGTTTTATTTTCCTTTACTGCTTTTGAAGGACAATTCACTTGAATTTCTGTTTTGCCCTTAAAACTTCCACAGGTGTCAAAAGCAAAGATGGAAGCAAACCACTCAAGGACCTTGATGAAGCCGAGCAGTTCCTTCAGCAGGTTGAGGTTGATCAGGAAGGCGGACATCCTCTGAGGGAAGGAGGGAGAGAGCGTCAGGAAGATAGGGTGGAGGAGGGGGGGATCAATGAGACCCAAGCAGCCTGGTAGCAAAGAAGGCATTTTTAAATTTATTTTTACATTTTTCCACAATCCTTTACATATAAAAAATTTTAACTCATACTCCATAGTTCTTGACATAGTTCTTGTTAATAAACAACTTTCAGAATTTCAAAATACTGAATTTTAAAGATAATGTTCAAAATATTTCTTATAATTTTGTTTGTAACTCTACAACAACAGAAACAGTATGGTTTTAAATATTATTGAGAAAATATTTGCATGTCAACTACTCAAATTGTTGTAAAGAAAACTTTCAAAGAAGAGTAAACCCCCATTCTGCTCAAATTAAATCTAAAGATCTAAAAGGGTGAATTTCTCTCTAATTCATTCTATGAAGCCTCTATTACCCTTATCCTTAAAACAGACAAGAACAGGACAAGGAAGAAAAACAATAGAACAATATCTCTGATGAATACAGATGCAAAGATTCTCAACAAGATATTAGCAAATCATATCTAACCACTTATATAAAAGATTATACATCATGATCAGGTAGACTTTATTCCTGGAATGCAAGGTTGGTTCAACATACACGAAACCATAAATGTAATACACCATATTAAAGGAAGAAAGATAAAAACCATATGGCCATATCAATTGAAGCAGAAAAAGCATTTGATAAGATACTACATCCCTTCATAATCAAGACTCAGCATAATCAGCATAGAAGGGTTACTTCTCAACACAATAAAAGCTATCTATGAAAAACCCATAGTGAACATCATCCTGAAAGGAGAAAAGATGAAAGCTTTCCCACTAAACACGGGAACAAGACAAGGATGCCCACTTTCTCCACTCTTTTTCAATATAGTACTTGAAGTCCTCACCAACACAATGCATTCAAATAGGAAAAGAAGAAGTGAAATTCTTTCTATTTGCAGATGACATGATTGTATACTATAGGAGACCCAATGATTTCCATTTAAAAATTTCTGGAAGTAATACATGAATACAGTAAAGTTTCAGGACACAAAAACAAATTTATAGAGTTTCTATGTATGAGCAACAGGCAGACTGAGATAGAACTGAAAAAAGTTATTCCATTTACCATAGCGACAAAAAGTAGAAGATACTTAGAAATAAATCTAACCAAAGAAGTTAAAGACCTCCACAAGGAAAACTATGAGAAGCTAAAAAGAGAAATTGAAAATGACACAAAAGCGTGGAAGGACATCCCATGTTCCTGGATTGGAAGAATTAACATAATTAAAATGGAAATTTTACCCAAATTAATCTACTTATTTAATGCAATGCCAATCAAAGAACCAGACACGTTCTTCACAGATCTAGAAAAGGCAATCATAACATTTGTCTGGAATTATAAAAGACCCTGTATTGCCAAAGCAATTTTGCACAAGAGTGGACTGAGTGGCATCTCAGTCCCTGAACAAAAAAATATGCTACTGAGCTGTGGTAATCAAAACAGCATGGTACTGGCACAGAAACAGACATGTGGACCAATGGAACAGAATTGAGTCCACAAGAATAAATTCCCAAACATACAGTCAACTGATTTTTGAAAAGGGACACCAGTCAATACAGTGGGAAAAGGAAAACATCTTCAACAAATGGTGCTGGAAAAACTGGATTTCCATTTGCAGAAAGATGAATCTGAACCCCTACCTCTCACCTTTGACAAAAATCAAGTCAAGGTGGATCAAAGATTTAAATCTAAGACCTGAAAGAATAAAACTGCTCCTGGAAAACACTGGGGAAACTCTGGGAGACATT